TTAAGGAAAACTGTAATTTTACAAAGAATTTCTTCAAGCAATTTTATAAAGAATAAAGTTTCATTTGGGGCAGTTTTCTTTCTGTTTTTTAAAATAATTTTTTTATACAAAAAGTTTCTAGTTTAAAAAGTTTTGTACTAAAAAATTGTTTTAAAAAATAATAAAGAAATTGTCCCAAACGAAACCTAAATCATTAATTCGCTTTGACATTTTTGCTTCTTGAGAACATCTCCAAATTACACAAATCATATTGTGAATCATTGGTTCATTCCTTCATAAGGAATTTCTTACATAATTTCAGCCTTTTAAGTGAGATTAGATCTTCATGCATTGATATTTATTTCAGCTTTTTCTGCTATTGAATTTTATTATGAAATCAAAATGATAAAAAAAAACTCAAAATGAGAGCTTCGCAAAGAATTACAAGATAAAGTGTTAGAAAAACAACAAAGAAACAAAAATAAAAATAAAAAATCTAAGGAAAAAGGGCTCTTGGAATGCAGAGATCATTACGTGCAGAGTCTGGACACATAAAATTGATCGGTTTTGTGACTGTGAACAGTTAAAGCATAGTAAAAATATAAGGGTGAACAGTAAAAGCTCAATGGTGAACGATAACTGTATTTTTACTATGCTTTTACTGTTCACAGTCATAAAATCGACCAGTTCTCTGTATCCGGACTTCAGACGTAATAATCTCTCCTTGGAATGTGGCTAAGTGGAATAAAGAACAAGATGATGAAGAATAAAGTGATATTGACAGTGAGAGATTCAAAAAAATGAAAAGAAACTAATTATCTAAAGCAAATTAAATGTTAGACCTCAAGGAAATAGGGACTACTGTTCCATGAAAGTACTCAAAAAAAAAAAGAGGTATGGTCCTCATCATGATGAAGAAATATTCTTGGATCAGTAAGTACTAGATAGCCTGGAACTCCACCATGGAAAAATCCTGTTAGAAAAAAAGAAAAGCAGGCCATCTACATCAATTGTTCAATCTAGCTTTTCTCAAAGAAATACTCCAATGTGCATAATTAGGTTTTCATCCTCATCATTAAGCAAATTACATATGAAAGTACACAAAAGTCTAAGTGAATATTTTAAAATTAATTATGACAATGCATCTTAAGGTCTGTTTGCAAATTCAATTGCATTAAAATATTAGTAATAACTGTAGAAGTAATATTGTCTAAATTGATATGATGCTTGATATGAACTTTTTGATGTAGTTTTTTTTATTATTATTATTTTTATTATTATTATTATTATTATTATTTTAAGAAGTAATGAGAAATCTTTTAAAAATTCTCACTTTGCTTCTTTTTTATTTTTTATTACCTCCTTTATGCAGGTACATTATTGATGGGATCCACTTTCATCTAGCAGATAATTTTATTTAAAAACATGTCACATTATAGTCATATTTTCCTTAATTACAATTTCTCAAGAGTATAATTATTAATATGGTAAAGTATTTGTAACTGTGGATGCTATTCAGTTATTTTTTTATAAAAATATACTTAAATTTTTAGTCATGCCATTAATCACTCTTTTCTATATATATAAAATGTGATTGAAAATATTACTTGAGTCTCAATTTTAAAAAAAAAATCATGATAATATTAGTTCCTCTTGATCTAAAATTTATATTTCATAAGATTTAGGTTTATTTAATGATTTGTCTAATGAATTGCATAAATTTTTATTTGATTTTTTCCCTATATATTATCATGCCAATCTTATTTGCTAATCTCTTTCAAAAATAGTTTTAAAATTTAAAATTTAACACGCATGAATTCACCCTCTCTTAGGTGTGGCCATAAACATCAATTAGTATCAAAGAGATTAGTTTGCAAAATATTTTATCACCTAAAGTAGATCTCATAATGGCACATACTAGAAATCATAGCACCTTGAAAGAGTAGTCCATTATATTACATTCGTTATTTGATAACATACCATTTGATTTTGAAAATTTTGCATGGCTGCCTTTATTCAGTCACTAGATTAACATATATCAAATTTGGTCTAAGTAGAATATGCTCCTATGTACATATGGTGAAAAATATGCAAACATCTATTTTCATGGAAGGACATAAAAAGAAAGAGAATTAATGCAACTTAATTCAAAATGTTTGAATTTTTTATGCTTTTAAATTTGAAGGCCGCATGCGTGTAGCCATTTATAAAATGAGTCAAGCGATCTAGGATAAATTTGCATTACTTATGAGGGGTGGACGCAGTAAAATAATCACACATCAATTTATTCATGTATGATGATGAACTTTTTTATTGGCACATATTAAAAGGATTACTGATATGTACAGTCAATTCACTAAAAGTTATTATTTTTTTGCATGCTTTGGATGAATAATATACTAATGCTAAAAGGTAAACAATTTTCTTGTTTATATTGAAATCTTCGGATGTCAAATATACCATTCTTTATTAATCAAAGAATTTATCAACTTATTCAGTTATTCCATTGATTTTTTACTAGGTTCACCAATAACGCAAAGCTAAAAAGTCAATCAAATAATTACAAATACCAAAGGCAAGAAGAAAGAAATTCCATGACATTGAATGAATCAAAGGGCATCTTGTTAAAAGAAGATTTTTTAAATTGATGATAAATCTACTTTCTTGATAAGTCTTAAAATCATAATTCTATGTTAAAAAATCTATGGGATATGTGGACTGATATTAGGATGCTTTGTATTTCAAATAGAAAATTGGAGATATATTTCAAACTATTTTGTATGTGATGATCATATTTTGACAATAAATAATTCTCAAATATTTAGTGAGTTGAAGCTAACCATGACTCAAGAGATTGAGATGATGAAGCATATGGCTCAAAACCGTTGCAAAGACCAGCGGTCGTTCAAAACCGTTGCAAATACCTTGTTTTGGCGGCGGTTTTCAAACCGCCCTAACAAGTGCTACGAAAAATCATATTTTTTAGTAGTATATGAAGTTAGTTGAAACATTATAAATGTGAAGTGGTGGATTTAATATTTATAAAAATTTGATTGGAATTTCTAAAATACTCAAACACACAATTGAATATTCTTTATTGACTTTGACTATTTAATTGATGTATTGAGGAGCCATAGGAGACTCATTATAAAAATTACTAAGAAGATTCCTTAATTGTTACTTGATGCATTATCCCTAATAGTCTCTAACATACATCTTTTAATGATTTTCAATTTTATGCATTCTTTTATAGATATTGGAGAGGGGATATGGATGTTTAGAAAAGCACCATAGAAATTATTTTCAATTATTTTAGTGCTACATCACTCACATGTTTATCTAATATTTGTCAAGTGAAAAAAAAAATTAAAAAAAAAAATCATAATTATCAAAACAAAGAGATCATAAAATCAACAAGATTTTTGTCTACGAAATTTAAAAAGAAATAAAAATGAAATTTTTTATTAAGGATTCTTACTTTAATAAATTTTATAACAGACAAATTTACTAAAGGCAAACATATAAAAGTAAAAGGAATTATGTTGATTGGATGAAGAGGCATAAATGGTCAGTGAAAGATTTCTTTTATAAGATTGTGTTATGATATATAGCATAACAATAAATATTTATAATTAATGTCATATTATTAAAATTGATCTATAATAATATTTGTATTAAGATGTCTGAAAAAGAGAAGGAAAAGAAAAGGCCACATTGCACATAAATGGTCTAAACAAGAATAATAAAAAAGGGGCAAATTTCACTACAAAACGAATCATAAAAAGGGAGTTTTATAGCCTTTTTGGCTTTTGTTTAGGGGAGGGATTAAAAGAAACATTATTTTAAGCTAACAAAAAAACACAAATGATTAGTCAATTTTCTGATTGCCTAAATCTTAGCTTTCAAACTCAACGTAGACCGAGGGTCTATTTGAGATGGGTATCTCATTTTATAAAGTTGGTTGTGAAGTCGTTGCGGAGAAAACTACGCTATTATAATTGCAGAAAATAGATTTCCACCTCAAAAATTTCTGAAAAGTAGTGAGAAAACAGTAGTCAAACAAATTTGTAGTTGATATTTGAAAAACAAAGCGGCAAGAGATTAGTTGTCCCAAATAGGCCCGGAGCTAGCGACAAAGATTAATAACAAGGCTTCATAGAATTTGGTTCAGCCCTTCAATTGATCAGGTTTGAATCTCCACGTCTTTATTTTCTTCTTTTAGTATTTAGTTCTGTTGGGTCTATTTTAATTTCATCAGCTATAATGTTCACTTGCAAGACCAAAAGGATTTGCTTGTTAGAATATGGAAATTAATCATGGAGCATTATTAATGAGCTTTTTATGCGTTTGGTGACCACCAGAACTCTAAAAAGCGCCATTATTGCAATCAAAATCTCATAGGTTTTATTTGAATGTTTGGTGCAGAACAGAGAAATTTATTCTTCTAACTTCATTTTTTTTTAATTAATGTTTTTGGGATTTCTTTGTTAACATTTGTATCTTGAGGAAGCAGTTGAAGGCAAGGCTTGTAGAAAGTTGGGACATTTTAGGCTTCATTTGAGACGGCTTTCTTAATACTTCTAAAAGTAATTTTTTTGTAAAAAATTTAAATTTTTGTACTAAAAAACTACTTTAAGAAGCAGTAAGTCGTCTCAAACGAAGTTTTAGTCTCATCTGCAGCAGTAAAGATTCAGGCATATTTATTTTCTTTCACAAAATTACAGCTTTTGAATGCTCAGAAGCGCTCATATCAATTAACAGGAAAAATCCATCAAACAATAATGTTTTTATATCATGATTGATTGTTTTTTTCACTGAATTTATGTTGTTTTTTAAAGAAATTTGTTTCAATAGCTTTCTTATATCAACTTGTTGGCCTATCTGTTTGACAACAACAGCAAACCAATTAAATGAGCTCTTAAAAATACGAATATCTGAAAATCCAGTAAAAATCATATATTTTGATTGTCCTAACTAAATATCCTGTTATATCTCCCCGTCCATCTATATGGCGTAAGCTTGATACTTGTTTGCCTGATAGTGCAAGCAAAGCAAAGTCCCAGCACTTATATTTATCATATCCCTTCACCTTAAAATTCTCCGTTTTCTGAGCCGTGTGTAAGAAAAAATTAAAAAAGAAATCTTTTTCTCTCGATTTCCTCCATTGTTTAACCTTGTGCTTCCTCACTAGTCCTACAAGCCTCAGGATTAGAATCTCACACCACCAAGACTCTTTTTTTTCTCCTATTTCTCTCATTCTCTCAGATAAGCTAGCTTTGTTTATTTTCTAACTTTAGCTTCTCTCAACCATCTACTTAGAGCTTTCTTCACTCCAAACAGTGGCATATTGTTGAATATGGTGCAGCTTTTCTTAGAGAAGCTGAAGTGGGTCATCACTTGTAAGTCATAGAGGAAACACCATTTGATTGTTTGTTTCTCTTATCTTCTTTTGACATTCTTCATCACATCTCTACTTTTAAGAAGTAACAGCTTGTCTTAGATGTCCCCCCTCCTTTGTTCACTAATGCTTGTCTGCGAGTAGAGGGGAGGAGGAGAGAGATTTGATGAGGTTTTAAATGTTGTTTCCCTCTCTTGTAACAGTAGGAACTGTAACAGGCACTTTAATTAAGTATCAATGCCTTCTTAGGCTCCGTTCCTGCTGTTGTTGATGCTGGTTTCGTGCTTCATTGGTGAAAAAGTTCATTTCTTGTGAGTTGAAACACCAATAGAAGAAACAGTTTGAAGTATCTCTGGTTCAAGGTTCAGGAACTTAGTTTTCTGAAAGCAAAGGCCAAAAGGAATTGGAGAAGGAAGAGGAGATCCCAAAACCCAAAGTACCATATCTCTCTACTTGCTCTCTATTGCTTTTGCAAGTGTCCAGATAAGGTTGCCTAGAATATGGTGAGGAGGTTCTAAAATTATTAGTTGTCTTTCTGTCAAAAACAAAGGGGGGTTTATTGAGCAAGTGGGTTGATAATATCTTATTTAGTATCCCAAGATTTCTCTTTGTTTTCATTTGAGTGGTCTTTAATTCTCAGCTGTCTCACCCCTTCCATTCGCTTTTGGTCTCTCTCTAGACCATAAAGAAAATAGTTCTTGAGATTAATAAAAAAGGACGAAAGAAAGTAAGAGCACAAAGATAGAGAGGGAGAGGATGAATATTTCTGGTCATGAAGTTGGGATGCCGATCCCAATAACCAGCACTTATGTTGGTGGAGGAGGTGGCCATGGCCAAAGTCAGAGCCACTCCTCTCACTTCATCCAACATGAATCCCCTTCTCTTCATCACTTAAAGCTTCATCCATCCAATGGTCCTTCTCCCCTAACTCCTCCTCCTCCTCCTCCTCCTCAAGCTGCTACTCCCCTCTCTGTAGCCACTCCACTAAACAGCAAGAAAGGAGTTTTGGTGAAGTACAGAGAATGCCTCAAGAACCATGCAGCCTCCATTGGTGGAAGTGCGACTGATGGCTGTGGAGAGTTCATGCCTTGTGGAGAAGAGGGAACGCTTGAGGCCCTCAAGTGCTCAGCTTGCAATTGCCACAGGAACTTCCACAGGAAAGAGATTGATGGAGAGTTATCTTCTTGTGATCTCTTCCACTTCAAAGGTGGGAGCAAGTTGATTGGCCAAAAGGGACTTCTTATCTCTGGGACAGACCCATTTGGGTACAATCCAGCAGGGAACAGTCTCATCCCAAGGCCTTCTCCTCACCAAATGATTATGCCATTTGGTGCTATACAGACATCAGAGTCTGATGAGATGGAGGGATATGGAGGAGCCATGACAAGGCCTCCAATGATGAAGAAGAGATTTAGAACCAAGTTTACCTCAGAACAGAAGGAGAAGATGTTCAGCTTTGCTGAAAAAGTTGGTTGGAGGCTGCAGAAACAAGAGGAGAATGTGGTTCAGCAATTCTGCCAGGAGATTGGGGTCAAGAGAAGAGTTCTCAAGGTATGGATGCACAATAACAAGCACAACTTGTCAAAGAAGAACAGCAACCTGCAGCTGGATTGAAGTACTAGCATTACTATTGCTACTGATATTTGATTTTTTTTTCTCACTGGCGTTTGTCATTAATGGTTGATGATGAGTTGGGTTAGATGGTTGGATACAGTGTTTATTTTCTGTTCAAGTTCCTAGATGTTTGCCTTGGGATTTTTTTTGCCACACCTATTGTTCCCTTTGGCATGCTGATCTAAGTTTTTAGGGAGTTTATTAGGAGCTGAACCTCTCTCTTTCTCTCTTAGTATCTTTCTCTCTCTAGATCTCTATCTCCCAGTGCTATTTGCCTATTTTGGTAGGGAAATGGAGATTTGGTTCTCATGGCTTCCATGCCTGTGGGTAGGCAGACAGTCCTTGAACTGATTCCATCTAGTAATTAATTCTTCTGTTATTTTGCTAAGTAATGGTGTTCTTTAACATACCATTAAACTTTCTCCATGATACAGTATTGAGTTCTACTACCTGGGTTTTCAATGCATTCTCATTTAAATCTGTCATTTTTGCCTGAATGTTGGAACCATGTTTTCTAGAATAATAAAACTTTCAAGGTACCAGGAAAAAATACAGAAAACATTACAGGAAAAACTGGAAACAATCAATTTTATGATGCTTCCTTTATTTTTCTGATATATTTTGTGCTGTAATTCCAAAGTATTAATATCCTTCATACGCAACAACCTGAGAACAAATAAAAAAAAAAATTGTTCCATCAGAATTGTGATGACTTATCATTTGTGCAACATTTTTCTTATATATATTATAATCAACTTACCAATCACTGGTGTTATAGTTTAATGGCAACATAAACTTTACTTTTTTATTGTCTTATTTGCATTGTTAAATCGCAAGGTAAGTACAGTTCCAGTTAAATAAACAACTGCATGCCTGTTTACAATATGAACATACAATGATATGGAACTAAATGAAAAATGGTTTATGTTACTAATGCTTCATCAATGGAAACAAATACAAGCTATAAGGTGCATATATGAGTTGGCTCCACCCTTCCTGCCTCTAGAAAAGAACTTATTAGAAGTAGAATGCAAGCTTATTCTAAGTTTATTTCATCTGTATTGGGTGTTTCTAAGGCTTCGTTTGGCGGGCCGGCTTTCTTACTGCTTCTTAAAACAGCTTTTTAATATAAAATTTTAAATTTTTGTACGAGAAAACTATTTTAAGAAGCAGCAAGAAAATCATCCTAATTGAAGCCTAATACACATTGGTACACTAAATATACACCTCCATACTAATAATTTCACATTGGAAATAAGATGTATTCCACATATAACTGAAAAAGGAAGATACAGCACACTGATTATAAAGAGAAAAGATAAAAAAATGATCAATGGTGATTAGTTTTTGTTCTACTTGATTAGTATAATGTCAGAGATTTTTCTTATAAATTTCAGTTGGGAAGAGCAGTGGTGTGTAGTAAAGGCAAAGCTTGCAGACCAGCACATTCTGCTACTTGATGGCAAATAATCTGCCATCACCACCAATGTGCCAACCAAACTGCACACATGTTTATGTATTATACTGAAGCAGACAAGTTTGGTCTTTTATATTTTTTTGGATAATGACTGTACAAGTGATTAGAACTGTAGATGTCTATAGGTTTAATGTCTCTTGTCTTTGTCTTGAAGTTATTCTGTTATGAACTTTGCTTGTTGTGGGATGCTTTCTGGTATAAACCTTGCTTGCTTTGTGATGATTTTTCAGTACTCATGGTGAATATTTTTGAGATATTTTTTATCTTGATCATCATGAACTTACTCTTAGGTCTTGTTTGGCTGTTTGTAAATAGAATATGAGTCTTAAAAAAAGAATTTTTTTTTTATTTCATTCATTCTGAGTGAGGGTCGCCTTAGATGATTTGGTCACATAAAACGGCGGCCTTCCAATGATCCGGTTAGGAAAGTAGTGGTATTAGATTTGACTTATATTAAGAAAGGTAGAGGTATATCTAAAAAGACTTAGTTAGAAAATTTTAGAAATGATCTTTCTTTATTAGATTTAAATGAGAATATGACTTTTAACAGGACACAATGGAGAAAAAAGATTCATGTAGCCGACCCCACGTTGTGGGACGATGGCTTGATGTTGTTGTTGTTGTTATTGTATTCATTTTGAGTGAGAAAGTAAGTCTTCATCGGCTTAAGAGGCAGTTTTGAGAAGGTTTGTGGAGTTTGAAAATAACATTGATGTCGGACTACATCTAATCAATTAATGAATTTAAAAAACTTCGCCATTTTTTTAAAGAATATATTTTCTAAGATTCAGCCTTTTATTTTAATATAACTTGAAACCAATATAATTTTTTATCTTTCTTTTATTTTTACACTTTCAAACCCTCTCAAAAAATTATGATTTTATTTTACACATTCAAAGTTACTAAAAAAAATAATATTATTATTTTTTGAAATATGTTTTTCATTAACAAGTAACCAAGTGAGCCCTTAAATTAAAATTTTCTTATAAAGGAACATTTTTTTTATAATTTGGCTAATCATAGAAATAATACATATGTACCGTAGAGTAACGAAAAGAGAATGTTATCACAAATGCAAGAAGAAATTAGTATAAATTAGATGAAACATCTAAATAAATACTTAAATATGTACCAATAACAAGAGTGAATAACATTAATACGAAAGGATTAAAGAAACAATAATAGATTAAACAAACATGAATGGTAGTTGTACAAACATATTTAGGCACACTTTCGTCAACATTATGCAAAAAATAAATAAAAAAAAGGTGGAATAAAACTATTGATGATGATGTTGATGCAAAGAAGAAGATAAAGCATTGATGTTAATTGAGCATGTCATAAATCCAAAAGAGCTTAAGGAGAAAGTTTATAAAGATGAACCACAAGTTGATGAATGCATCACCTAAATTAATGAATGGATTTGTATCCATATTATTGGTGGATGCACTTCATGGGGAGCATGTCTTTTTCTCCACATGTTTTATTGCTCATTGATTGCATGTGATACTTCAAATAGATAAGTTGATTAACTCACTCACCAACTCCCTTAATCGCTTTATTGCTTTAAGTGTTTCTTTTTGATGGGACATTCCAAAGCTTTATAGAGGTCCCATGTGAATTAGTAGAAAAAGAGATGAGTTATTAGTATCCTTCCAATGCATCTAGTTCATTCATGTGATCTTTAAGTAAGAGCATATTTCAAAGAATGAACAATAATTTGCTAGAAAGTGATATATATATATCGATCAGATCTAAAGCTAGGTCGATTCAGTCAAAGTTTGATACAATTCAAGTTTGATTTGAGATAAATTTGACTCATTAATCAATTCACTTCAATCTACGCACAATTCAAAGCAAAATTTTATTTCACTTTCGAGTAATATTTGATTTCCAAGCCAAATTCTCCACCCTAAATAGTGGTGGGCCCAAACTAGGCCACAACCAAAGAAAGATCAGCAACTTAGAATTATTGATGTGGGTACCAACTATATTAATTAATAAGAATCATAAACGTTATTGTCAAGATTTTAAATTCAAATTGTACCAACATACAATTTTAAAATCAATGGTCTCATTACTTGCAGGAATAGAAATTGGCTTTATGTGCACTTCTAAGATGTTTGTTAACATTGGGAATGTTTAACAAATAATTAATTGAAACCTATGGGCATGAAGACAGTCTTACAAAAAGGCTTTGGGATACCAAAATAATTAGAGAGCAGGTTCTATATTCTGTACCAATTAGCACTAATGATGTTTCCAAGATCTTCATTTTTTTATAACAGGCTTCAGTTGGTCTTCTTATTATATATTAAAGCTGTGGGAGTCTGCAAGTGCTGATATAGTATTATATCGGAATAATTTTATTCTACCTTGAGAAAAGTTAAGCTTCGTAATGAATCAATCAGCTTTTTGGTTGCTAACATTGAAAGAAAAACTTAATGCTTAGGCTTGAAATCAAAGGCATCAGGGAAGAAGTTTTTTGTGTTTTTCTGTACAATAAAACAGATCTAAAAGACTTCTGCACTATGCACCGTTTCTCTGAACAGATCTTACTTTGCGGAAATGGAAGTTTGTTTTGATGTACGTCATCAGATAACAAACTGAACAGGAATCTGACGCCAACAGCCCAACACAGTACATTTTTTGTCATGCTCTCGTTTCTCTTTTCAAATAAACAGAGAAAATTTTAGCTTGGACATGGTCAAATAAGGTGTACATGATGAACTGTTACACATCAGCCTGCGCATTTTGTCAATGAACATAGATGAACAATGTCACGCCAATGTTGCTTCGACAAATTCGGTGGAGACAGAAGAATAACACAGATGAACAATGTCACGCCAATATTGGCGTTGTACTGTTCACCCGCAACCAAGTACCAGAAGTTTTGTCATTCGGCTGGAGCTCACAAGCGACACCATTTATGTGTTTGGAGTTCGGTTTGAGAAGGTTGAAAAAGAAGCTGACCTACTTCAATTGGTGTTGTCAGGCTCACCAATGTTTCCATCATGTCCATGGCAGTTTTGCCAAGATTTAGCTTCGTTTGGAACAGCTGTCTTCCTGCTTCTTAAAGCGGTTTTTTAGTACAAAAATTTTAAATTTTGTACTAGAAAGCTGCTTTAAGAAACAGTAAGAAAATCGTCCCAAACGAAGCCTTAATTAACACCCGACGAACAGGATCAAGCTGGTTACTCTTAGAGTTAACAACAACCTTCGAACCCAACTCGACCAACAGAAACTCTCGGACCAATTCCCATTTCAACTTTCTTCATTTCCCCACTTCAGTGTTGAAGTCACAGTGGCAATCATCACTAGCTCTTGCCACTCAAAGGATGACTTGTGACCATCTCTTGTACGAAGCTACAGTTACTCTCTGAAGATTCCCGAGAACGACTTGTCATCTCCCCATTACGGATCTGTAAACCTGTGAACAAACTCCAGCTGGTAGTTCAACTACCAGGTGCTCTCCATGTGGCATAAAGCAACTCCCTGACTCGCCAATTGTCCCACTGCGACTGTTACTATCACAACCTGACAAATGTGACATTGGGTATCCATTCACGTAGTGGTGAAACCCAGCAAGCCCGATGTCTATAAATACCCTGTTCATGGATTCTCCCAAAAGAAGAGAATGAATTCGAACCATTCCAAAATTTAACCAGGTAGTAACCTGTGAAAGATAGAAAGTGAGTGTTGTAAATAATCGACTTGTAATTTTGAAAGATGTTAAGAGAGAGAGAGAGTGTGTGTGTGTTGTAACTAATAGGCTTGTGATCATCTTCTTCCTCATCTTAGCAGAATATGTGACCTCTCCTTAAATTTGGGCATAGGCAGACTGGCTTAAGCACTTAAAATATGCATGTTGTGACCGGAAACATTCACCGCGGTAGAGGAATATAGAGTTTGGCGTCCTAACTTTATATGAAGATCCAGCACACAAATAGATAGAAGAGATGAGTTCATCAA